TACCTGATTGCTATAGCAAATGCAACTTTGCTCCATCGACAATCCCACCACAGTATATGATATGGGAACATGCCTGGCCTTCTTTGAAATTCACATATTTCCTGTACCTCAAGGGTACTTATGGCAACGTTCCCTGGTGGTTAATGTGTCGAGATTATGCGCTGCACTGCCATGGTTCGAGTCCCGTTCGGGGTGTTTATAAGATCTAGGTGAGGTCGAAACTGAAGTTCGCTTCAGGAAGGCAAAGCTATGTGAAATTCAATGGAGATGTGGAGTCTACTCATATCATTGTGGGAAAAATGCAAGTACTCGCCCCTCTATAACCTTAAACGAAATAGGGTGAATACACTTCAAATATGAAGTTGATTACGTTTCGCTAAATCCACTCTCTCCCTCTCTCAGGCCAGATTGGAGCAAGCCAAGATACGGAGGTGTAGCTAGGTGGGTTGGCGAGATGAGGTTGGTTTGATGGATGTAGTTACAGCGCTGGGACTAGGCCAGACGAACGGAGGGATGCCACAACGGTTGAGGAGAAAATTGGTCCAGGCAAGTGTGTCTTCAGTTGTCACTGAAGGGTTGTCACGCGATTCCAAAAATGGCGCCTCTTACTTAAGTTGCCGACCATGATGTCGATGAGACGTCTGGGAATGTACCGAGTCAACGGTCTTATGCGGGAAGTTTTCATCACTACTTTGGCAGATGACGCAGGACTGGGTATGGGTTTTGTTTGAACAGGTGGGTGCAGGGGATTATTAAGTTGGCCTCACCGGATGCCGAGGGAGGACCGCCGTGTAGCTGTGATTGTTGTGTTGTGTGACGAGGTTCCTAGCTTACTCTTCTGCGACTCGGCAGACGGCGTCGGAGCCAAAAATTATGAATTATGCGAAATTCATTCAATGCTCAATCACGGAAGGGGTTGTGTTTTGATGAATTTGCTTTCCGGCTCTGACGATGTCTGTATGCCAGACGGTATCGTCCACCCGATCTCCGGATCCCCGAGCCAAACCAGCCACGAAGTCGGCGAATCGGACAAGGTATTGGTGCTGAGGTGTTGAGACTGTTCTCCTGTTCCCATTCACTCGTGTTCGGATTGTTGTGATTGCTATTTACTCTCTTCCATTGCCTCTGACGAAATGCAACAGATAGTTGTTTCTACTGGATTATTATCAAAATACGCTTCTCCAGGGAAACGTCAGTTCGGCGGTTGGTTATTATTACTCTTTTCTATCCTCCATTCGACATTATCTGACTGTCCCTTTTGATCAGATGGGCCCGTACCGTCGAGATGAGATCTCAATATTTGATCTCGCGAAGGGCATTGACTGTTGTCAGAACTCCGAAGTGTGTATGCCTTTTTGGAAATATCATCGTCCCTTATGAACAAATGATCCTTTATCTGCCGCTTCTAGCTGCACATCATTAACTGCCCCATCGATAGGGCTCATTCTCTCTCCTCCTCGATATCCCCCCTCTTCGTCATGGCAGTCGTGTCGCCATAGCCTCCCATGCCCTCGGGCCAGCATGCCGTAGAGGGGGTGTGGCCGTGGGCCCGGAGTGTTCCAGACGAAGTCTGCTTCGTTCGTATGGACGGGTCAAACGCGTCAAGCATCAACTGCCAGGCAGGGTTTAGCCGGTGGCCCGCTTGACCAGACCGCTTCTTGTGCTTCGTAAGTGGCGGCATTCGTGCGCACCCATTCGTTTGGCGGCCTTAGCAAACGGCTGGTGCGGGCTGCTCTGCTCGGAGCGCTATCCGGGAGGAGAAGAAGCCCACTCAACTTCCATACCACAGCCACTTCGGCGTTAATTCACCATCAGAGCGCTCGCTTTGCCCCATCATTTCTCCCTCTTCCGGGCCAGATTCTCTGTCGGCGGGAGTCGCTTCCGTCGTATCTCTGACTCAGCCCGTTGACTATGGCTCATCTGAAGCTAGTCGCGTTGCCAACTGAAGCTCACGAATGAGAAACATAAACGACAACATTTACTTGGCATCGTCTGATGGAGTCGTGTAGACAAAGCCAGAGCATGGGGAGGGAGCGCTCTGCTTTTTTCAGCCTGTGGCGACTGGCATGTCGTCGCAGAGGCTCGTGATGCGCTCTGGTGAAATGTACCGAAGGGGATGGAAACAACTCAGGAATGTGGACATACACAGACACACATACACACTGATACACATGACACACACACACACACGCCTTGGAATCATTTGAGCCGCGTAAACATTCAATCATAAACACACGAACACACAAATATGCTCATAGCTGTTTCACAGACCTGCACACCCGCCAAACTCTGGAACCACAAGAGGGCAGTAATGACGGAACAAAAGGCACACTCGCACGAGTCTTCACGGACAAACGTGAAGATATAATCGTGTAAAGATGCGCGTGGAATTATTAAGACTATCAATGAGGAGTAGTGGATTCAGTAAAATAAAAGTTGGTTCCGAGGCAATTGTACTACCGGACTTTGCATTCTGATGAATAATTGAGTAATTCATCCCATTCTCCATTCTATTCATATTACTCTATTCCGAACTACCTACTTGATTAACACTACTTACTCATCTTGATTATTTTACTTATCCTTTTTTTCTCAGCATCCCTGCTTCCTTCGTACATAACCCTCTACCTGTGATTTCCTACTCAGCTACCTTTCTGATACTTTTTTATTTCTCTCAACTCCATAATTAAATATTTCATTTGTCAAATATATCTCTTTTCAATCCTCTTATCGAGTGATTTACTTAGCAATCTAGTTATTCATTCTCTGGCCTCTTTTACACAGACCCTCTAGCTCTCATCTTCATTTCGGTATCCTGTTCAACTGAAATGTGGGCCGATTGTTAAATTTCCGGATCATGCACAAT